AGTATTAACTTCATACCCATTAGAATCAAAAATCCGACCATTATCATCAATCTGAAATTTTTTTAAAAAAATTTAAATAAAATTTAACAGTGAATTATTAATTAAACAATATCAAACAAAAAATACAAAGAAATGAAGGTAAATAAGTAATTGAAAGGAAAAAAAAAATTAAAAACTTACACTTTGAACATCATCAATGTGAACTACATTTGATTTGGCATATTGAACCTCTGAAACATTTTTTGGATTTTTTTTCACAGATTCCTAAGTTTATGCATCCAGTAAATTGAAGGAAAATTAAGAGAAAAAAAAATGATGCATCAGATTTATGCATGCATCATTTAAATAATGATGAATCAGAGAAAAAAAAAACATAAACCTGATTATGCTGTGACACGTCACAATCACCATTATAAACATCAGATTTATGAATAACTTCATCAGATGGTAACATTGCGAATCTATCATGATGAATATCCTTGCCATTATTAGCCTCAACGTTCACAATACTATCCATCATATCACGCAGATCCTTGAAGAAGGATAAAAAACATATGATACATAAAATAACACACAGAAAAAACATAATATTAACAAAAAAATGTCAGAATAAAAAAAAAATGTGCATATTTAACCTTTAAAGTAGAGTGAACCACTTTAAACTCCTCAAGTACTTTTTCAGAAAAATTGAGAAATGACATCATCAGGCCATTAAAATCATCCAATAATTGCATCTGGCTAGAGGAAAGATTAAGTAATTGCTCGTCATAATTGCTCGATGTAGAAGGAAAAAATCTGTCATTCCTCTTTATAGGTTCATGGCGAACAAATTCATTATTCTCAACAAACAAATTCTGGAGAACTATATAAACCAAAAAAACCAATCATCATTATAAATATAAAACATATAATAAGAAAAAATAAGTAACCTATGAAAAAAAAATATACATATATATATATATATATATACCTGGTCAGGACGAAGCGAAGTAAACTTTCGAACTACGAAGTCTTTGTCAACTGACTTATCAGCCTTCCACTTCAACATACGAGGTATTGTGGAATTCAAATTATTAACTTGAACACAAACAAGGCCCGAAGCATTTTTACAGATTTCATAAAACCACCATTGAAGAACAACTATTAAACCACGACACTTATTATATACTGCAGTCTTAGTGGCAGAAACCTTTCTAACAATATGAGAAATAAAGTAATCATAGATCTCTTTACCCCAAGGATAATCATTACAATCTTCGCTATCAATGATAGCAAGATAGTTCCGATCAAACCCAACTAAAGGCTCATTACCCATCAAATAATTAGCAAGAAAATGGAGGATAGCAAGTTTGACAGCATCATTGTCATTCTTCCAACACCGAGATACAAATTTCATGCGAATAGCTTCCCGGGTCAAACGACCACCAGATGCAAAAAACTTTTTCAATAAGCCGTCATCATTACCCTCATACATTAACTTATGAGCAGATCCAACACACTTAAGACCAGTAATAACAGAGAACTCCCCAATTCCAAAACGCATTATTTTTCCAAAGAAATCAACCCACATTTCTTCTGTTTTTTTTGTGAAAAAACTTGTCTAAGAAGAACCATATGAACAAGTTGTGTCTGAATAATATAATATGGTAATTCAAAAAACTTGCCAAAGCATGATTTTTTCAGGATTTGAAGTTGAGTTTCAGTCAGTATACTCCTAATCGTTTCTATTATTT